CATTTGAGGCACCAGCTCTGCACCACCTCTGCTCCTTCCTACCTTTTATCTGGCTATGATCTCCAACCTGCTTTTTTGTTAGCATTTGCCTGTTTTTACTTTTATTCACTTTTATATTGCCTCACTGACAGAGTGCTTTTCAACAGAATCTAGGCGGGAACGCACTCATAGTGAGCAGGTGGGGTGGGGGTTGGTTCCTCAGTACTCAACCTTCTTCTGTCTAGAGAATCACAAGTTAGATCAGTCACCTTATTATTACTATTACTATTATTACTGTTGTTGTTGTATAGGGTTTCTGAGGAGAGACTGGTGAGCTTGAACCGCCAACCTTGCAGTTCAAACGGCTTTGCAGTCTGGTGCATTAACCCACAGCGCCACACCAGGACTCCTGTTACTATTACTACTACTAACAAAAGAATGAAGTTCATACTTGATTCAGAGAAACTTTTTCAAATAAGATTTTGCTGAATGTCTTTATTTACCTCATGATCCCACTTCTACTTAGTTGCCAGATGACCTTTATTTCTTCTTAACTGTGACAGTTTCACATATTTGCCTTGTGTTATTGATGATTTTGACAATGCTGAGGAAGATCGGAGAGGTATTTTGTACACTGACCCTTTAATCGGAATTCGTATGAATTTTTGTATGATTGTTGTTGTTAAGTGCCATTGAGTTGGTTCTGACTCATAGCGACCCTGTATAGGGTTTCCTAGGAGCATTTCCCCTTATCAACCTGTCTATTGTTTGGCTGGTGTGGCACTGTGGGATAATGCGCTGGACCACAAAGTTAGTTTGAACTTCAAGGTTGGCAGTTCAAATTCACCAGCTGCTCCTCAGAAACCCTATACAGGGTCACTTTTCATCAGAGCTGACTCTAAGGCACTTAACAACAACAGGTATTTGGCTATTGAGCCATGTAGGTGAGTTCATTTTCAGACCTGACGGGTGACTAAGGTACATAGTCGTGAGAGGTTCTACCAGTCTTTTCTTACCAGTAAGCCTGGCCACATTTTTCTCCTACTCTGTCTAGGACCTTCTACTGTGATCTCTTTTAGAATAATAGTTGGTAGTAGTCAAATACCATATAGTTCTTCCGGTCTCAGAGTAGAGGAGAATGATGTTCAAGTGGTCCATCAGTCCAATGGACTAATTGTTGATATGTGTCTTCAGTTATCCTCACTCTTCTTTCTTCCAGACAGGGTGAGACCAATAGTTGCACTTTAGTTGATGGCTAAGACCATTGTCTTACCAAAGTTGGATGTAGACCATTGTCTTTGTGAACTATGTTATGCCAATTGACCTTGGTGTCCCCTGTGACTGTGGTCCTGAACCTTCTGGCCCAGTGACTAATTCCTTCAAGGTATTTGCTTGTGATTTTCATACCTTGCCCCCTGTGTGCTTCCCAACATTCATGGATTTATTTGCAGCAAAAGTAAAAACTCATCTGCAAATAGTCTTTCAAACCTACATATGTTCGTAGGTATAGACTCATTCTCCGTCCCACACCTGTTTAACCTGGATGTCTATGCTTGCATCCACTTGTTGTGGTGGTTGTGCTGTCGAGTTGGTTCTGACTCATAGCGCCCCTGTATATGGTTTCCAAGGTGGATTTGAACTGCTGACCTTGTGGTTCACAGTCCAGTGCTGATCCTACATCACCACACCGCATCTTATAGAGCACTATTATTTCAGGACTGTGTATTTAACAGCAGTATTTGTCTCTGTCACATTCCTCCCACTTCCTTACTTGTGGACGCTCTAAGCTCATCTCGTATATTGTCAGCTGTAGTCCTAAAATCAGCCATTTCTCTAGAACCCTGGTTTCTTTCTTCATGTTTTATTTGTTTTTACTGGGGTTTTGTTTTTTTTGTTTTTCAACTTTCAACTGGCTTCTTTCACTTTATTCTGAATATGAAAAGTCAGCTGCGCAAGTACCTTTTCAGAAAGGAATCTCTTTTCTGAGATCACACAGGCATGAACCTCAAAATGAGTTTCTTCAACAAACTTTCACCGGAGTATTCAAATGATATTTGCATATTCATATTTAATGAAACCAATCATGTGAATACTTTTATTCACAGATATATGGTCACCATCCTACAAACCTAGGCCGTCTTGGTTGCTATTGCATGCTGCCTCATCTATCCCAATTCCTAGTGACTGTGTGGGACACAGTGAACTGCCTCATAGATAGAACCTCGGTTTCTTTTTATTGGAGAATGTGCTTAAACCAAGAGCTGGTGCCATTCCTTCTAGAACTTCTCAACTGGTAGAGTTAGGAAATGTATATATGTATGTGTATATATATATACTGCTCCTGTTGTTTCTAAGTGCTGTCGAGTCAGTTCTGACTCATAGTCACCTTATGTAGGGTCTCCGAGAAACGGCTGATGACTTTGAATCACCGACCTTGCAATTCAAAGCGACCTTGTGGTCCAGTGTTTATGCTGCAGCGCCATACCAAGACTCAATTTATATATACTAACCATGTATATATACATTGCTGCTGTTATGTGCCGTGGAGTCAATTCCGACTCATAATGACCCTGCACAAGGTTTCTGAGGCTGTAAATGTTTACAGGAGCAGAAAGCCTCATCTTTCTTCCAGGGAACAGCTAGCAGTTTCGAACTGCTGACCTTGAGGTTAGCAGCCTGATTCCTAACCACTATGCTACCAGAGTCTATGTGTAACCACATGTTAAGGTAAACATGAGTCCGTACTGGTATCTCCAACTCTAATTCATCAGCACATAGATCATTCTCACCTGCTCCCCTTGCTTATCTGTAAACTTCCACTCCTACAGTAAGAAGCTTGGCTCCCACAGTTGGTTGTTTCTTACTTAGCTGTTCATTTCCAGTATATACATGCATAGGTATAATGACATTAGATTAACTTGACCATCCCCAGGAAACAAATTCATCCACTGGAACACACTGTTTATGTGGAGCTTCTTCTGCTTTGGCCTTTCAGACTCAGGTTCTGCAGTGACTCCGTTCAGCCCTGCGTCCACACCCCCTTCAGTGAAGTTGCTTCTGCATCTGCAAGGCAATTTGGGTGGTTCTTTTTTGCATTCCATCTAGAATACCCCAGCCTCCTAACTAATTTTTTTTTAATTTTCATAAATTAAGGTTCATTCTTGGTGCTTTCAAGTTTTGTGTTTTGACAGATGCATAATGCTATGTATCCATTTTTACAACATCATATAGAATAGTTTCTCCACCGTGAAATTCTCCTGTGCCTCACTTCTTCAACCCTCTCTGCTGCCTCTGAGTCCCTGACAATCATTGATTTTTTTTTTTTTAATCATCTTGATTGCCTTTTCTAGACTGTCATATAGGTGGAATTATACAGTATATAATCTTTAAAGACTGGCTTCTTTCACTTAGAAATATGTGTTTAAGATTCAACTGTGTCTTAGAGTGACTTAATAGCTCATTGCAATTTTATCCTGGGTAACATTCCGTTGTATGGATGTATGACAGCTTGTTCATGCATCTACCTGTTAAAGGACATCTTTATTGCTGCCAAGTTCTGGTGATCCTAAGTAAAGCTTCTGTAAAAAATTATGTGCTAGTTTTTGTGTGGATGTAAGCACAATTACTGGATGATGTGGTAAGACTATGTTATGTTTAACTTTGTAAGACACTGCCAAGCTGTCTCCATAGTGGTTGGATTATGTTGTATTCCTACCAGTAATGAAGAGAATGCCTGACTTGCATCCTCCCCAATATGTAGTGTTATCAGTATTTGGGATGTTAGCCATCCTAATAGGTTGTTGTTGTTGAGTGCCATTGGGTCACTCCAACTCCTGTACAGGGTTTCTGAGGAGCGGCTGATTAGCTTGAATGGCCAACCTTGCAGTTCAAACCAACTTTGTGGTCCAGCGCATTGACCCACAGTGATACACCAGGACTCCATATTCTAGTCGGTATGCAGTAGTATTTCATTGTTATTTCAATTCGCAGTTTTCTAATGACAAGAAGCTGTGGTAGTGTAGTGGTTGCGAGTGGGGCTGTGACTCTCGATGTCAGCAGTTCAAAACCACCAGAGGGGCTGTGAATGAAAATTCACTTATACTTTGGAGTCCTGGTGTGGCACTGTGGGTTAATGCACCAGACTGCAAAGCTGTTTGAACTGCAAGGTTGACGGTTCAAGCTCACCAGCTGCTCCTCGGAAACCCTATACAGGGTCACTACGGATCAGAACCAACATGAAAGCACTTAACAATAACAATGACAAATAGGAGTCCTGATATGGTGCTATGGGATAAAGTACTGGACCACAAGGTTGGTTTGAACCACAAGGTCAGCAGTTCAAACTCACCAATCGCTCCTTGGAAATTGTATGCAGCATCTCGATATGGCACTTAACAACAACAACAATGACAAATAATTTCATGCATCTTTCCATCTGCCTGTATTCCATCCAGTTATCTTTTTTGGGGAGAGTCTGTCCAGAACTTTAGCCATTTTGTAATTGGCTTGTTTGCTTCCTTACTGATGAGTTCTTTGAATATTTCTGATTGAAGATGTTTATCAGATCCATGTTCTGTAAATATTTTCTAAATTAGGTGGGTTTGTTCCCTAGCACTTCAGGCTTGCATGCTGCTTTCCAAACCTAAACACGTACATATGATTCTAAATGCTGGTGAATGATAAGGCTCTGCTAGCCTGTGTTTGCCTTTCTGTTCCCCAAAGTGATCTCAATGCTGCCTCTCATTTCCATACTCTCATTCATTCAACACCTTCATGTCTAGAATGGTTGTTGTCGACCTTTAGTGATTTACGTTTATATGTTAAGAGAGCTGTGATCAAAGTGTTATGTGCTTATTCATCTGTCTTCAGTAAGGTTCTCAATGGGAATCCAACCTTGTTTGTTTCCTATATTGGGAGGAAACAGACAGGTCTCGGGACTAGGAAGTTGTCCACAGTTTCTATGTCACGTCATGCCATGGGTGAGGCTAACACTTGTCTGTCTTCCTTTTCATGGCCTCCAGTCATCAAGCCTCCTTTACGCCACTTTAAGCGCCCTGCTTATGCATCTAGCTCCTATGCACCTTCAGTTCCAAAGAAAACCGATGAACACTCTGTGAGGTACAAGATGCTGGACCAGAGGATTAAAATGAAAAAGATCCAGAACATATCACATCACTGGAACCGAAAGTAGATGAATGGGAAAGAAGAGAAGGAGTGAAGGTGAAATCTACCTGTCTGCTTCTCAGCGACTCCAGGATACCTTCAAGACCACCTTGGAGGCCTTTGGGACTGGTAGTATCATGGTTGACTTCACCAAGGCAGTGTGAAGGCTCTATAGTTTTCCCCCTTTGTTGTTCTATTGTAAACTCATGAATCATTGGAACTGGAGTTAATCCAAGTCCAGCTGTAAGCCAGTTAGAAGGGTGTCTACTATGGCTTTTATTGGCATAGATAACTCTTTCAAAATCTAAATTGGGCTAACATTGAAATGATACAACCTGTCCAGAAAAACAAAATAGAATTTTGACTTGCCCCATTAAAAATATTGGTTTCATAATCATCGTTGTTTAAAGAAATGTCCTTCTAAACACATCTTTTCCCATTTTTATTACACCTATTAAAGGTTTGAGCAAATTTGTAATTTCAAAGTAAATGCATTCAAAGCAAAATTGTACTTCTGAATGTGGTAACCTTACAGGGAAAAGCAGACAGATGAACTCAAGCTTCACACAGCAGATCAAAGTGGGGAGAAAAAAGACGTTTTTTGTTTTTTGTTTTTGTTTTTAGGTGATGTCTCATGCCCAATAACCTCACTGCACCTTTAAAGACTTGACAGTTTGCAGACAACACATTTTGACTTAGCTTTCCTCAAATCCTTCACTTTTACCCACAGTAGACAATGCCAGAAATTAAAGAAGTGGTCATGCCTCCAAAACTCTGGATCTTGTGGTCCTTGTGTGGTGGTGGTGGTTATGTGCCGTGGAGTCTGTTCCGGCTCATAGCGACGCTGTACAGGGTTTCCGAGGCTGTAAATCTTTACAGGAGCAGAAAGCTTCATCTTTCTCCCGCAGAATGGCTGGTAGTTTCAAACTTCTGACCCTGAGGTTCACAGCCTGATTCGTAACCACTACTCTACCAGTAGGAGGATGCATAATCTTGTATCTAGCCCAAATTCTTTATCCCTCAATTTTCCCCTTTAAGTGCAATTTCAGATCATTATTCAAGTATGTACCAAGGCCCTGTAGAAACTCAGTGCTCTCCTTGGATTGAAATGAGCTGTTGGTGTTGGTGAACTAGAAGGTCCTATAACTCACCTCCCTCCATCGGGGCATTTTTAGCCTTTCTAGGTTTTTAACTTCGAGACCTAATCATAGAAAAATCCAGATTCAAAGCCAGAAATAGCCTTTGGTCCCTTCATTAAACAGCCTGGTGCTGTGAGAAATCTAGGTTTATTGCCAGCTACATCTGATCAGCATTTCTTGTCCCATTGATGACTACTTAGGTCTCAATTTAATGGCTTAATCTTTCCAAGTCTCTGTGTGCCTAACTAGAAAGTGGGATTTGTCATAATCCCTACTCTGCATTAGGTGATGCAGATGAAAGCTAATGTAGGTTCTGAGAGCTAGTGTGGTACCTGGTGAGTAACGGGACAGAAGCAGCATAGCTGTTAGTGCTCTCCCTCTAACCCACCCTCTCCAGGACACTCCTACAGAGAAGGAGCTGGGCCACCTTTGGGCTTAATCTCTCCTCTCCTTCCCCACGTTTCATTTCTGCTGAACCACCATTACGCAAGTCACGCCAACTCCAGAAGTTAGTGCCCACCATACTATTCAAGTAATTTGTGTATAATGTGCTTTATGACGTTATTTCAGGAACATTTAATTATGATACAGAACATCACTGTGACTTTTTTTTTGGTTAGGAAAGCAACCGTAATTCTTAGCACCTAGAAACCTCCTTAACAGTCTTATAGCATCAATTCTACCCGAATTAGGTAAACCCAATGGCATTTTCTACCTATTTGTAGATGCTTTGATGCTTGCTGTGCAAAACCATGAGACTACACAATGAAACTACCCATGGAGCTGTGGCCTCCTTGTTAGCCAGTGGACTGACCCACAAAAGATGTAACTGTCTCTCAATATCTTCAGTCTTAAAGGTTTTTTTTTCTGGCTGTGCTTCTTGGTACTGGAAGCCCTGATCCTGGAGAAGAAAGTTTGCTCCTTCCATATTTGTTTTGTTCCAATATGTTATTTTTCAGCTTTTACTAATACTTTGAGCAAATGTACAGATGTTAACATTCTACATTGCTTATAAAATGCCTACTACGATTTTTGCATGATGGATTGTATAGAAATGCCAGATTATATTCTTACAGCAAATAAAAAGATGCTTTTAAAGGTTTTTTTTGTATGTGAGCCATCACTTTTCTTCTCTGGGATTCATTTGGAAAGAGCTAGATTTCTCCTAACTTTGTTGTTGCTGTTAAGTGCCGTTGAGCAGGTTGTGACTCATAGCAACCATTTATAGGATTTCCGAGGAGTGGATGCTGAGTTTGAACCACCTACCTTGCAGTTCAAACCGACCTTTTGATCCAGTGGCTTAGCCTACAGCACTACACCAGGACTCCAACTTTGGGACTATTCAATTCTGAGCATCTTGTCACAGTCACAGTGCAACCGACCCATTACGATTGCTTTCTGATTCTGTCAGTGTCCACGTTAGAAACTCCTTTCTACATCACTGACCCTAGAAATTAATCTGTTAATATGAGGCATCCATAATAACATTTAGTCAGTAGGTGATCACCAGTGTTACCATATTCCATTTATATCCTTCCCAGCTAAGCCGTATAGCTGGTGGTTAAAAGCTAGAATTTGAAGTTAGAGAAGTCTATAATTAAATCCTGGCTCTGCTTTTGGTTTGCTCTGTGATCTTTACCAAGTTCAATCATCTCTCTAAACTTTAGTTTCCTCCACTGTAAAATGAGCATAGTAATAGTATTTAACTCAATTGGACACTTAGTAAGGACTTAATAAACATCGGACTGTTATTTCTTGTCACCAGTCCTTTGTCAGTTTGTCATACTGTGGTGGCTTGTGCGTTGCTGTGATACTGGAAGCTATGCCACTAATATTTTAAATACCAGCAGGGTCACCCAGGGTGGACAGGTTCCAGCAGAGCTTCCAGACTAAAACAAACTAGGAAGCACGAGAGGCGGACTACTTGTGAGTCTTTAGACACTGAGAACCTTATAAATCATGGTAGAACGCTGTCAGATAACACCAACATATTGAATGGCACAGGAGTGGGCAGTGTTTCCTTCTGTTGTGCATAGGGTCACTATGAGTCGGAACCAAATTGACCATATCTATCAACAACAACAATCACTGCTTGGAGAGAGATTGGAGTGTGGTATAGAGAAGTCAGGCTTTCCAATCTGAGAGCAACATACCTTTCTAGTTCTATGACATTAAAGTAAGTTGTTAACCTTTTTCCACTACAGGGAAAAGGAGTTAATAGTTTAGCCATGCATTATCCACCAGACTGTTCCCACATTGTACAGCTCTCTGTATCACCCTATTTTTTACTCCTTAATCTGTATTCCTACATTTAGTAGGAAACTCAGCATCCCTACCTCCAGTATTCGATTCATCAGACCCTGCCACCTTAGAGATCTTGAACTTCCAAAGATCAGGGTTATCTCTTATTCCCTGACCAACCCCTTGCATCTCATTTCCGCAATTGCTGTCCTTCATTCTGTTCCTATTCACCCTATTTTATCCATCCTTTTGCTTTTTTTAACTCTTCCAAAGCTCCACTAACACATCTACTATATAGAACAGTATTTAAAAGCTTAGGATGACAGTAAAGCAGGAACCACTGCTTAAATTTTAAGTTCAACAACAACAGCAACAATATTGTGTTGGAGAGAACACTGAAAGTGCCATGGGCTGCCAAAAGAACCAACACATCTGTATAGGAGGAGCCACAGTGCTCCTTGGAGGCCAAGATGGCCAAAGTTCATCTTTCATACTTCGGACACATTGTCAGGAAGGACCAGTCGCTGGAGAAGAATATCATGTTTGGTAGGCTGGAGAGTCAGAGAAAAAGAGGAAGACCCCCAGCGAGATGGATTGGCCAAGTGGCAGCATCAATGGGCTCAAGAGTGGCAACAATGGTGAGGTTGGCCCAGGATCAGGCAGTGTTTCGTTCTGCTGTGCATAAGGTCGCTATGAGTCAATACTGACTCAATGGCACCTAACAACAACACCAACAGCACCAATATCTGTTAATCTCCCTTTGTAGCGAGGTTTTCACTGACTGTGTCTTCTTTAGGTCTGGATGCACCTCTGGCTTCTTGGATTCCTCCTACTACCAAGACGTTTCTGCTCTGGTCTGGAACCCATGAATCCCTATGATAGTGCAGAACCTTCCATCTCTTCCTCTCCATGCCACACACTCCTGGGCATCCTCACAGCTGATGAACTTGATCTATGGAACAAGTGGCATTATGCTGGGTCTTGCTTCCATGAGCACAAAGAACAGACAAAAGCTTTGAAGTGGAAGTTTCTCTCTTGAAGGCAATACCATTTGTAGGCAGGTCTTCTTCCCTACTACTAATAAAAAGGCAATGTAAATATGTCTTCACCCGTTTGACACTAGCCCTCAGGAGTTCTGTCTGCCGTTACTTCACTCTCCTCCTAGTTAAAATAGCTAGTAAAAATAGCGTAGAAGTCTGGTGGTGCCGTGGGTAAGCATTAAGCTGCTAATCACAAGGTCCAAACCCGCCAACTGGTCTGAGAGAGCATGAGGTTGTCTGTTCCAGTAAGAATTCACAATCTCAGAAACCCTCAGGAGTGGTTCTATAGGGTGATGATAAGACTCATGGGACTGTAGGGTGACTACTAGTCAGAATAGACTTGATGGCACTGGGATTGGTTGTTTAGTTACAACAGTAGAGCCATTGGTGGATTGGCTGTTTAGTATAATAGCAGAGCCATTGGTGGATTGGTTGTTTAGTTACAACAGTAGAGCCATTGGGGATTGGTTGTTTAGTTACAACAGCAGAGCCATTGGTGGATTGG